CCCCCCCCCCCCCCCCCCCGAGGCGGAAACCGCACAAAGGGCGACGAGCCCTGGGGCCGACATGCCAAGGTGCCCTGTGTTTCCTTGCTGTGGCATTGTGGGATGTAGGGGGTTGAACATTTAGGCCCTGTTTTAGGGTTTGCGGTTTATGGCTAAAGTCTGGTTTGAGTGTTTAGGGGTTCAGTTTGGCGCACTTCTGGCTCGGTTTTGTGCCTCGGGCGCCGTGTTGATTGGGCGCAGCGGCGGACTACTGTGCAAGTCTCGGCACCCCAACGGGACCTCTGCACATATGATGGCCAGGCAGATGAGCTCGAAGCCCGAGAAGATGTACGCTTGTCCCTCAGGGGATGTTGCCGAATGGGGTATAACGTTGTGGTTCTTCGTGTGCCTGGCTTACATCTTAGCTTCGAGCCTTGCAGTGCCACTGCAGCATTTCTTGAAAATCGTTGGCTTGGTTGTCCACCTGTCTAGAAGGAGGCCAGGAGACTTCCTGGCGCTTGGCCCCAAAAGGGCGAAGGCTTTGGCTTGGCTGCACCTAAGGAGACGACCGCGAAGGCCCTGCTCAGCGCTTGACATCTCTGTGCGTAGCTTGGGGGAATATCCGCAGACCTTGCCAGAGCGGAGTTCCATTCTAGTCTGTTCTGTTCTATTCTATTTTTTACTTCTGTTCTGTTCTGTCCGGTTCTGTTCTACTCTGTACCATTCTTATCCTGCTAGCTCAAGCTTCTGCTTCACTGGCACTCCATCCCATGTTGGAGCCGGGTTTGCGCTGCACACAGCCGCCGGAGATCGAGGTTTAGGTACTTAGGGTAGGATATTCCCAGAGACTTTGAGCTTCAAAGCCGCACATCCAACAGCCGAGTGTAGCATTGCGAGTTGCTGTGATAGAAGTCGCTATGCGACCTCGTGAAAGGCATGGATGAGCAGTTGGATGGAAGTTATGGAAACCTTTGTCCCCTAAGCTCACTGGAAGTCAACCCTCACCCCCACCGTACGGAGCCCTTTCCCGATGAAGTATGTCAACTTCTGGCAACAACTAGCCCCAAGAGCTCTCGTTCATCCGTATGGTCAGGCGGTGCTCGCCGCGACGGCCGCCGACGAGGTTGGAGAGTGTTGCATTTTGGCACCATGTTCAGGGGCTGATGATGATTTGCAGGTCACTTTTCCTTCTTTTTTGTTCGCTCTCCTCTTCCTATTGGCGTGCATGCGTTCTTGTGCGCCTGCGGAGAATGCACTTCTTCCGCATGACTTTGAAGGAGCTCTGGGTAGCAAAGAACCTAGCAGATTCCCCGTCAGCCGCACACAAGTGAGCAACAGGTGCGGCAGATCGAGACTGGAGACATGCTGCTGGGTTGAAGTTCAAGAGCTAGTTTTCATGCCGAGTTTCCGAATTTTTTGGTGCACTTGATCCCATCCGTGCTGACGCTTCTGGTGTTTGGAGCTGGGAAGCGTGCTGAGCCGAGGACCTCTTCAACTATGCCACTGAGAGGGAGCGGCAGGCACGAAACAACCGCCTGACACTCAGGGCCCACAGGTTTGGTAGGCGGAGACAAGCAGGGTTCTGTGGCATCAAGATAGGGCACCATAGTATGGGGAGCACTCATTGCCGAGCTTCATGCAGGAGTGATGACGCTAGACTTGATGTCTTGCTGCAGGACGGAAGTATCCAAACCCAGGCTCTAGGTTCACAAGTGGCAGACTGTCGAGGAGTTTTAAGCCTCAGAGCCATCCGCACTCCAGAAGCCTTTGAGGTGCAGTCTTTGCAGTCTTAGGAAGACCAAGCTCCAAGCTGCTCTAAGGAGGTGCCTGGGGACACGACGACCGAGGCCTCGAGAGTGGAGTGAAGCCCGGCCCCAAAGTCATCCCCTACACAACCAACCACAGGTAACCGTTGCCTTCAGCACAAACTTTGGCCATGGACTGGTCTCATGTCGCTCCGCAGGAGACTGGGGTGGGGCGGATGTCCGAGACCGAGAGGCCTCTGCGCCTCTGCACGGTCACAGCAAACTGCGTGCCATCAGCTCGCGCTCTGAGCTCAGCACAGGCGCCCCGGAAGCGCGGCCGAGGCGCCGGGCTCTGCCGGGCTCTGCCGGGCTCTGCCGCTTTTTGGTCCCGGCCGCTCTTGGCTTCGCCTTTTCTGCAGGCGACCACTGGGATCGGGGCCAGGCCAGGCTCTGAGCTGGAGTGGAGAGACGAGCTCGAGCTGGAGCTGGTAGCACAGCTGCTCGTCAGGAATGGCAGGCTCGTCCGGACACGGCTGGAGGTCGGGCGCCGGAACGCTCCAGGGTTGCTTCACCAAGTTGGCGTCGGGTTGAGTGGCCGGGGCTTGCAGACTCCTTGTCGAGACTCGGACCTCACTCTTTCTGGTTGCTGATAAGTTTCGCTCTTCAAGCAAACAGAATTCTGTCTCAGAAACTCGACTCGCGCCGTGCCCCGCCCGAGGGTTTATACATCTTGCCATCCAGCATCTCACCATCGATTTTGAGCGAAGGTCTTTGGTGAGGCTTTTCCTAGCTTGCTCGATGCAGTTGTTTCAAGACTTGACACCTGCATCTTAATGGCTGTATCTGTGCTCTTCGATGCATAATGGGCGAAGATATTGCCTTCTATTCTGGGAGATGCCAGCAAGATTCAGAGTCACCCATCCTTGTCAGAAGCATGTTCCTTACCAACATCACCACCAGGCTTCTTGTTGTCAGATTCTTGCCATTTCCATTTATGTGTTCACGAGTAAAGTCATGTGGCGAAAAGCAACAGCACTTCAGCGTTATCATGATCATGATGATCATCACCGGTTCCAAAATTTACCGGATGATAGGGGACGTGCGCGGAAGCTCCGCGGAAGGTGGACCCCTGGCAGTGGATGACAACCCCTTCATACTGAAGTTGCAGTCATCGCGATGGTTTCGTTCCAGCGAAAGTGCATTTCTGCAAGCCCTAAGCCAGAAGCATTGCACACACACACACAAAATATCATACCCAAAACAAGTACACTTTGGGTAGTATTCACCTGCAGACAGACAGAAAATAAATGCACATGCACTATTGCAGCCCACGTGGCCCCGAAACAGAAGCCTTGGTCAAAGATTTCAGAGCGCGTCGGCAAAAACGAGATCTTTGCGATTCTTCTGAAGTCCGGAGTTGCTATCGGACTTGGAAGTTGGATTGGAAACCGACGCCCAAAGTAACCTAATAAGCCTCTTCAGATTTGCTTGTTTGTATCTTCACGCGCTTTGTGTAAGTGCACATCAACATTTCAAACGTTTCTCTCTTGTTCGAGTTTGAGGCTATACGTGTGGTTTGCCCCAGCAAACAAGCCTCCCCAAGACTTAAGCCCGCGCTTGCGGAAGCAAACCCCGCAAACTCAGCGAAACAACCGTTGCGGAAGGGAGCCGCGGAAGCTAAACGAAAGTTGAGGCCTGCGGAAGCTAAACCCTCGCGCGCGGAAGCAAGCGGAAGGGTCCTGCGGAAGGGTTTCCTTATTTCTCTCCACACAAACAGGAACAAAAGCAACAGCTCAAGTGTTCTGCTGCCTCTAAGCTGCAGACAGACGCCGGCAGCTCTAGCAGTAGCAGTGCTGGTCGTCGTGGTGGTCACAGCAGTAGCGCTAGCAATAGTAGCAGCGGTGGCATTGGTGGAAGTCTGGTATTGTGAGAACACTCACGTCTCCAATTTGGGCTTACCATGCATGCTCTGGTTGGGAAACGCTTCGAGCCTGCTTTGAGGCGCTGCAGCTGCGCCGTCCTTCAAGCCTGTAAGAATCCCAAGTTTTCGCGACAGTTGCGCCTTCTGGGGCCCTGGAGATGCCAGGCTTGCAGGCTTCTGGTAAGCCGCTGGTGAGTTGAGTCTGAGGGAAGGCAGCACTCGCATCTCCAGAGGGCACCCGACTCCCGAGGCCGACGACGAGGAGACGCGCAAGCGCCGCAAGCGAATGGAGCGCTTCAGCAAGCTCATGCCTTACTCATCGGTCTTGTCGTGACGAGGAAGGGGGAGGTGCAGGTGAGAAGGAGCAGAGGAAGAAGCAGAGAAGAACGGACTTTTCAAGCCTGCAGCCTTGAAGGTTTTTTCAACGTGTTGAGAACCAGAGGCCGATCTAAGGATACATATTCAGTGCTGAAATCTGCAAGGGAGGACAGGGGGAAGAATCATAGCGAACACAGAGTCGAGAAGCGAAGGCACGTCGCCACAGCACAGTCCAGCCATATCCAGCCCATGGCCCAAGGCCCAACTTTCAACGCTTCGACCCACCTTCATGTCCGCATGTCCGCAAATGTCCCGCGTCTCTTTCGCGATTGTCAGCTTGAACGGGTCTAAGGGCGGCGCCAGCCGCTGCGCATGGGGATGCCGGGGCCACATGGGATGCAGGCTTTCACCAAGATAGTATCAGTAACAGCAAGATGTGCTTTCGAATCTCGAGGTGTGACTTCTGCTTTGTCCAGCGGGAGCCTCCATCACGCTACTGAGGCTGCCCCCAGCTGATTCAGATGACGCTTGCAAGAAGACTCCTGGCAGCAACGCCTACCCACAGCGCCAGTCGACCATTCTTCACCTTGTTAGCCTGCGAACAATGTGCATGTCATGACTCCGGGGGACTGTCGGTGCTTCGGTCGGGATGTTTGGGATTTGGGGGGTGCGCTGCATGGCAGTCGCCATGAGTTTCCATCCCTCAGTCGGAGCAGACGAGGTCGCAGTCGTCAGCACAAGACGCTGCCATGATCGAAAAAGAGCGGGGCCGTTCTTCTGTTTGCTGTCTTTGGGCTGGGGGCCTGGGATTTCCTTTGGAAGTGCTTCGTGGGTTCGGGCCGAGGTTTTGCAATTCTCATTTTCGGTTGCGGGCTTCGGCTAGCACTAGGCGTGTTGACTTCTCAGGAGAGTTCTCTGGATGCATCCGGAACAGAGCCGAACAGATCTTCAGTAGAGGCCTCAAAGCAGTTGGATCGTGACTACAAAAAGGAGCCCCATACCCTGGTTCTCAGAAGACCTGACTGCGGAGGCAATTCCCGAAGCTTGGACTGCCTCCAATCTGCACAGCCACGCAGCTCAAGCTGTGGGCTGTAGCGATTATGTCATTTTCATGTCCGTGAACTTCACACATCCTCGATGCATCGGCCTCAGCGGGATGGCCTTCTGGCTTTGAATGTTTGCTTGCTGCGTGACAGGACAGGAGAGATGGTCTCGGTCTCGATGTCTGATGAATAGCATATTGTCTGGAGACACTCCTCAACGTGACGTAGGGTGTATGGCAATGGGATGGTTCGTGGTGAGTGCACACTATGTCAATATTTATTTGGGGATCGAGCACGGTTCCCAACGCTGAAGTGCATGGCCTACTTCATCCTGCTTCACAACATCACGTATCGTCACATTCCTCAATTTACACCTTAGTTTTCCATCGCATGGCAGTTTGAGTACTTGTGACATAGCCACAGCCACATCCTGCCTGCCCCTAGCCCTCGGCTCTGAGTCGAGGCTCCAGGTCTCTGTACCCAAAGACTCGTCCGCTGAGGAATCCAGTGCTGCTTGCAGCCACTTGTGTATGGATCGCACAAGCTGTTACCGAGCACCACCAGGCGGGCAGCAAAGGAGATCTCCGTAGCGACCTTGTCCATTTGGATTGTATCAGAAGCTTTGTCAAATCCTAGCCAGGCAAGAGCTAGATTAGCGATGAACGCCTCCGCTCTTCTTGGTCAGGTGTCCCTGCACGCGAGCATTGATGCACATGGAAACATGCAGAAGGACACACCGACTCGGTTTCTGCACTCGTCTTCGAGTTGAGCTTTGATCGCTAGCTCTCCCGGGTTCGAGGGCTTCTCCTTTCGTGCCGTGCAGCACTGAGTCTTCGGGAACCTTGACTGTTATCAGGAAAACTCTCGCATGATGCGACGAGAGGCATGGGCTGGGGCCTTCAATCGCTGCACAACTCGTGCGTGCCCTTTCTTGGTTGGAAAAGCCGTTGTTCGTGGAAACCCAGAGGGTCACTCCCCAGCCCTACCCTCGCATTTGAGGTTTGCTTGAAACCACCTGATCTACAGAACTAGTTTCGGCCTGCGAGGGGCGACTGCCTTGCCGCTATACACGTGAGAAGGGAGGGGAGGACATGGGAGGACGGCGAGATTCGTCGAAGCTTCGTGAGTTTAGAGTCCCTGCTGACTTGCACCTACTTGTGCTACTCGGAAGCAGGCAAATGACAACCTCTTAGAGGATGCTGACCAAGACCAGGGAAGCGTCGAAACCCGCAGCACCTTGTTTGACATCAATTGCTTGATGTTTCGGGGTTCAGGCTCGAAGCCACAGGCCTGCACCAGAGCTTGACGGAAATAAGCTCCAAGCTGGTGTGTGAGAGTTCCAGTCCCTCCGGCTGCGGAGCCAAGGTGATGAGGAAGAGGATGCGTCCATGGAGGACTGATGAAGGTTGCTAGGTCCCAGAGGAGGCGCTGCTGTACAAAGCGGATCCGCTCTCATCTTCCGGAGCCTGGCCAAGCGCTTGTCCAACTCGGTTTGAATCACGCCTGGACGGCCGATAGAGAGGCCGAGCCAAGAAGCCTAATTAACCGAACTCACTTGCAGCATCTTGCGGCGCTTTCCGCTTCACAAAGGCCCTGAAACGGACACGCCAGCAATCACGAGCTTTTGGAGAGGACGTGTTTGGGGATGTCAGCGGTGACGATCTGGCGGAGAGCGAGGTCAATGCCACGTTTCCTTATTACAGGTGCCCGGGCAGATTTTCAGACTCGGGGGTCTGGTGGGTACTCGTATATCTGCTCTGATCTAGATCGAAAGGTTTCCGTCCAAGGCAGCTATGCCTTGTGATCGTTGTCCGACTTTGAAAGCAAGAGACATGTGAGTCAAGATCATCGTGAGGGTCGTGATGAGGATCAAGCAAGAGGGTCGGTTGTTATTAGAGCTCACACTGCTTTTCAGCCTACAGTATCCCCTACTTAAGCTCCTTGCAAACTTTCCTTGGTTCCGAAGCTTCCGAGTCTGAGGTTCACTCTCCTCGCCACACGCGAGCAGGGCTTCACGGGCGATCTTGCTGAGCCTGGGTCTCAGCAGTGTTGGCTCACAGTGAGCAGACGTCGGAGCCAGGCAACTTCGTGCAACCTGCTCAGTGCAGCTCTCACCTCCTTTAGCTAAGCTCTTCAAGCCTCACCACATCGCCTTCTGCCACACAGCGGACACAGGTTCGCACTCTTCGATCCGAAAAATCAGCGGATCGACTTGACTCCTGGAGGAGCGCGTCTGTGTTGCTCGAAGCTTTGAGGGTGTGGAGCCGCGGGTCCTCTATCAGACCTTTTGTAGAAGGAGCCGGTGTCGGGTGGCCCCTGTCAGGACCGGCTGTTCTGAGCGCAGCGCTGGTAGATGTGGCTGGGCTTGGAGTCCTTAAGCCCGAGCATCGAATCGATAGAAATTCTGGCCGTGGCTCTCGGCGGTTGCTTGAACCGTCCCTGTCTCAATGCGTCGGGACCTGTGCCAAGCCATGGCATCATGATGCATCATGCATCGTTAAGGACATGAACCAGACGATTACCGGCAGCTGGGATCCCAAGTACGCGCTGGACGGCGACCTGCAGACCAAGTTGATGCTGCAAGTGGGCTATTCGCCGCTTGTCGAAGTCTGAGAGGCTCTTTGGATCTTCAGTGGTCCGCATGGCATGGCAAGTAAAGACCGTGCTGGTACTCCTAGGGGAGAGTCTAACTGCTTGATGAGCAGAAATCCAGCATAATATCTACCCTGCTCTCGTGCGTGACCTCATAAGCAACACTGCGCAGCCTTTGGATATTCAGTGCCCGTTTCTACTTTTTCTCAATACAGCATCAAAGAGTCTGCGTATTGCACGTTGAAACCCATTCAGCCACATATCGTCAGGCCAACCCACCCAGCTATCTATCTACCTATCTGCCTGCTACCTACCTACCTCCCGCCTCTCCTCCCTCTCCCCCTCCCAACCACCGACCTACCTGCCTGCCTGCCTGCCTGCCTGCCTGCCTGCCTGCCTGCCTGCCTGTCTATACATGCAAATCGATCTATCCATCTATCTTTCGATCAAACTTTCTATCTATGTGTCTGTCGGCGTGTCGGTCGGTCGGTCGGTCGGGTCGGTCTGTCTGTCTGTCAGTCGGTCGGTCGGTCGGTCTGTCTGCCTGTCTGCCTGTCTGTCGTGAAACACACGTGTGTGTGCA